TGTCTTTCGATGCACGTTGCCACAAGAAGAGGGCGATCATGTAATCGCCTGCGTGTGAGCGTGTTCGTCTGTTAGCAAAATGTTTAATGAAATGAGGGACAGTTAAATGAAACCTTCAGAATGTAATCACCGGCGTTTAAGTTTCTATCAAACTTGTTAAACTATATATATTTTTTCTTCATAACATATGGTATTTTTTGTGTCCTCAAATGTATAAATATTAATGCATATTATTACATATTATAAACATTATATAGTCACCCCTACTGGCTGGAAAAGCCCTACTCCAACAAACCCAAAGTAGCCCATGGGCCACCAGTTGATAACGACAGATTGATGTAAAGCTTGCCTGACCTCAGTAAACAGTTCCTCTTTCCCAAAGTTTGAAATCTGCACAATCCTATACTTAAAATGTCTAAATTTGTCTAAATCAGGAAGTAAATCTTTGAGTTTTTAAAAATTTATTTATTTGTTTTTTTCATGGTATAATCTTAGTCCGGGCGACAGAGTGGCTCAGTTGGTAGAGCTGTTGCCTCTCAGCAAGAAGGTTGCCAGATCAAATCCTGGCCCAGGACATTTCTAGGTGGAGTTTGCATGTTCTCTCCGTGCATGCGTGGGTTTTCTCCAGGTACTCCGTTTCCTCCCACAGACCAAAAACATGCATGTTAGGCTGATTGGTAACAAAATTGTCTCTAGGTGTCAGTGAGAGAGTGAATGCTTGTCTCGTTTGTCTCTCTGTGTCCCTGTGATGGACTGGAAACCTGTCCAGGGTGTCCCCCTGCCTCTCGCACAGTGACTGCTGGATATGGGCACCAGTGACCCCCACGATCCGAAAAGGAAGAAGTGGGTAAAAATGATGGATGGATGGTATTCATCCATCTGTTCGTAAACTTTCTCTTGTCTAGACTGTAACGTCTGATCTTCTCAAGATAATTTAATGAAACTTTAAACACGTGTATTTACATCACCCCAGCTCCAGGGTTAAGGTCACAAATCAAGGTCAAAGTTATACAAGGTCTTTGCTTGTCCGATCCATTGGTATAGACTGCTGTATTGCTGTGTAAGTTTGTCGACGGGTGTATAATGTGCCATATACCGCACTCTTTTGTTAGTTAGCGGTGTTGCCAGTAAGCTTTAGGCGCATCTCTGCTCATGGTTCTATAAACATCTCGATCTAAAAAAGAACCTGCTGCGTTTCAAATGCACCTGCTGGTGCAACATCATCCTGGAGGTGCAGAGTTTGCAATCAAAACCTGCGTACGATTCAGCAGGAAAAGCCTCTCTGCTTTCATAGCTGCTCGCTCTGAATACTCCAGACATTTTCCTGATCTCGTCATATAATTTTCTAATAAGGATTTTGTGGAATAAAGAGGCATAAAATTGTCCTTAAGTGTCTCCTTTTCTTTTCCGTAACAGATAAAACGGAAACATTCAGTCCTTGTGATGTGAAATCAATTAAAAAAAAGCATGTTTATTCTTTTGCAATGATCTTTATGAAGCAGGAATGAGTAGAGAAAAACTGTCCGGGGACTTTAAAATAAGCTACAAAAGCACTTTGAAGTTGGTGAGCAAATACCATGCGCTGTGTTGGGTGGTCCACAGAGAGGAGCAGCAGGAGCACAGCTTCTTCCACAGCTTCTAATTAATGAAGAGCAGCAGTAAGTAGGGCAAGAATTTACTGCGCAGGTTGCTTTTTTTTCTAGTCATACAATTCCCAGGTTTCCCAAACCATGGCGACGCGTCCTCGTGACGAACTGGAGCTGACGGTGTGAAACGAATCCCAGGTGGAGCCGTCTACCTGCTGTCACTGGCAACGCCACGAGTGTCCCCTACTTCCTGTCAGCTGATGCTTTTTCCCTTGAGTAAACCTTAAAGTAGGCAAAAAAATAATATATAGACAGCTGATTAAATTAGCCTTTTAGTTGGCTAAAATAGCTCAGTGTTGGAAGACATTCTGTTTAAAAAATGATAAATTTACTTGATAACAAAAAGCTAAACTCTGTAAATAATCACATTACACAGCACACGTGCAGTACTGATGAGTCATTTTTGGTCCTTGAGGGCCACCATCTTGTATGTTTCAGATGCTTCTCTGCTCCAACTCACCTGGTTTGAATCAATGAACGATTAACAGGCTTCTGCAAAACATGAAGATGATTACATCATTGGATCAGGTGTGTTGGAGCAGGGCAGCATGTAAAACATGCAGGATGTTGGCCCTCGAGGAACAACATGCAGGATGGCGGCCCTTCAGGAACAACATGCAGGATGGCAGCCCTCGAGGAATGACATGCAGCATGGCGGCCCTCGAGGAATGACATGCAGCATGGCGGCCCTCGAGGAACAACATGCAGGATGGTGGCCCTCGAGGAACAACATGCAGGATGGTGGCCCTCGAGGAACAACATGTAGGATGGTGGCCCCCGAGGACCAACATGCAGGATGCAGTGAGCAGGCCCTTAGCTGGTGCGGTGTGTGGTGTGGGATCAATGAGAGTTGAGACAGTGGCAAAGCGCCATTACTTTGTTTTAGATTGTACCCCAGACAAAACGAAAAAATAAAAATTGGCACATTCCTAATAACAAGTTCTAAAGAAAGAAGTCTAATGGTTTAGTTAGTGGAAGACTTTGGGAAGCACCTCTAAAATAGAATAAATTTATTAAATGTGCATATTTTGTTTGTGAACCACACGCAATCCATTTATAATCAATGAAACCAATGCTAAAATAGAAGCACAGTTTTAGTGAGCTGGTCAGGTTTAGCTGTTAAGATCAGTTTAACATCCATCGGCCCTTCGGCTGCTCAAATCAGTCGATCATTTTATTAAAACCTCCAATAATCTACCGTGTCGTGTAATGTGATGAGTGTTGGGGAGTGAGAGGGCAGTGTGGACAGACAGATGTCTAAATGTGCTAATTGGGCACTTTGTTTATTCCATGCCAGGTGCTTGTGTGCAGTCTGAAGCGTGGCAGCACTCCCAGAGGCAAGCACTGACCCAGTTTTACCACTGCAGCCTTTTTGTTTCCTCGTCTAACTGAACACAGCAGCACCGTTTAGACCCAGAACGTCATGCTGGAAGGACGCTACAGTTTACTGGCCTAGAAGAGACGATTAGCTTCTTCATTGTGGCTCATAAACATCAAGTGGAAGTGGAGAGAGAGCTATTAGCATAGACAGACTACGCAGTCTATGACTAGCACGGACACACTTACGTTGTTCGGCAGAGGAAACAGGGAAAAACTAAACAAACGGTGCTACACAGAAGTGTTCAGGTTTAATGTTAGTTAATGTAGCGTTCCTTCACACCAGTATGTCATTTTAGTGTAAAAAGCTGTTTATAAGCCTGAAAATGATTAAAAACAGGGCTTTGTTTGGCTAGGCTGTAGCCTAGATGAAGACTTCTACCCATACTCCATGCTCTATAACTGATAAGATAAATCTTCATAACTATAGATGCTTTTAAATTGTCCAATCTCATCATGACTCACTTTCCTTTATTCGACCCAACCAGGTCATACACAGTCTTAGCAGTTTTTATCCACTGATGGGGAGTGAAGAAGGGAGTTAGAAATACCATATGTCCATTTGGTTCATCATGTGAGCTGTTTAACTTGAAAAATAAGTGAAGTACCAACGTCCGTTTTTCCATTTTGGTGTTTTAATTTCAGACTCTGGTCCTCTACCAGAGGCCTGGGAGCTTCAGGGTTCTGTTCAGTATATAGACGAAGAGAAACACATAAACCAGCCACCCCATTTATTTAAGGAGACAATGATTTCTAGTTTTTATAAAAGTGTAGTTTCCTTACATTAATAGGATGGCAGTAGGGGTAGCTGAAGATTAATATATGACGGTCAAGGCCTCCATTGCGTCCCCCCAGCTCAGTCTTTGTGCCTGGTGGAAAAATTGTTCCTCCCAACCCCCCAGGATTTGTCATTCTGTGCTGCTTCAAATAAGCAAAAATAAATACATTTACCGTATTTTTAAGACTATAAGGCGCAATAGCAATAAACGGGTCTGTTTTCACACATAAGATGCATTAGGCGAAACAAAACAGTCAGAAAAGTGAAACTTTATTCAACTCGTTCACAATAACCACATAAAATTGTTTCGAGGTCAGTAAGCACAACCAGAATTATTACATAAGGCTCACCTGATTATAAGGCTCACTGATGATTTTTGAGAAAATTAAAGGATTCTAAGTGTGCCTTATAGTCTGAAAAATACTGTATGGTACCTTTATTCTTATGTGCAGTGGAACTCTTAGCCACTTGAACATCTGGCACCAAAAACATTAAGGTTTACATGCATTCCCTGTTCAGTTCCAGTCCAGAAAAAACACTCATCTCCAAAACTTTCACTTTTCAGACGGGAGACATCAGTTGTACATTTGAGCGTTGCCTCATCATAGCGACCCCCTGAAACGTACCACCCACAAGTAAATAAAGGAGAATAAAAGTAAAAAAAAAAACATCATTCCCACATTTCTAAAAATGCCACGGCCATTTGACGCCACCTTTTTCCTCCCCCAGACAGACCCTGTAGATCAAGACCATTTGGTCTCTGTCTGAATTCTGTTATCAGCCAAAGAGCAAGAAAACGCCCGCACCTCCTCACTGTACCACAGTGTTGTAATTTTAATGGATTTATTATTCACGTTTTAAAGAAGTAAATAACAAAAATAAATACTGTTGTTGCGAGGTTTTAAAAAACGGTGTGTTTGACTCGTGATTGACGTGGCTCTCTGGCCAATCACCGTCGGCTGATGTCAGATCAGCTCGCTTGGAACCTCGGCCGAGTGAGTTCACTGGGCCGACCTGTGGAAACAAGTAAAAAGTCCTTTTATGACAGAACACCATCAGAATGTTTGTATTTTAGGCACTCCTGTTAAGAAGAACACATCTTGCAGGTGTGTGGTCATAAATGCAGGGTTAGTCTGGGCTATGTCTCGATACAAATGATGCAGACTGTTTCAATCAAATCTGTTTCTTCCTGTCCACAGCCCCACCCTCATTTACATCAACGCCACCACAGTATGTGGAGGCGAAGGAAGGGGGAAGCACTCTGCTTAGCTGCTCTGCCCAGGGAAATCCGAAACCAACGATCAGCTGGCTGAGAGAGGGGGAGGAGCTTGCAACCAACGCAAAATATTCAGTAAGAAAATGCATATAGACAAAACAAGATTTTTGATTGAACACAAAAATAGAGAAAGGATTTGGGCACAGATGGTGTCATCCACTGAGCCCATCTGTACAGACAGTATGTGTCGGTCTGTCTCATCCAGGCCAAAATCATCTCATTCTGTTGGAGAAGAATAGATTTTTAATTCTCAGTTGTTTTGTCTAAATGATGAATTCAGCTGCTGTAATTCTTAGAAAATGTTTTGTTTAGTCTCACAGAGCATGCAAATTCATTTTTACTCATTCCTGTCACTCAAGAAGCTGCAAACATTTGTTTAAAATGACTCAAATATGAGATCAGTCCTGGATGGTTCCTGCAGGAGCAGTCTGCCAGTATGAAGAGGAGCTACTGGCAGCGCGCCTCACATTTCTGAACCGTCTTTGTTGTTTATTGAGGCCTGATTTGAATGCTTGTGGAAAAAAAAAAAAAAAACGTCTTATGTCATGACAAGATATTTCTGGCTCAGTCTCTGGTTTGAAAGCAGCGAAATGTCTCAGTTACACACGGCAGCATCAATAAACATCAGGTTTGCGTGGCGCTGCTGCTTCAAGTCAAAGATTTCTAACATCTGGATGACTCAAAGCACAAATAAAGCAACATGTGATGATGAGTCTTAAATGTAAAGATGCAAATTTCATTTTTTTCTGGGAGTGAAACATCTCTCACTCCAGCTTGAAGGCACCTAAATATTGAAAAGCAAGGAATGAAAAATGAAACCACAGGAACTAATTTTTACCCGCTGCTGAAGGTGAGTGGTGATAAAGTTTTTACTTTTGTCTGCTTGTTTGTCCATCTGTTAGCAAAATATGTCATGTCAACCAGTGGATGGATTTTAATACAACTCTCAGAAAGTAATCGCTGGATGTACATTGGCCTGTCACAATAACAAATTTTGCTGGGCAATTAATTGTCTCAGAAATTATTGCGATAAACGATAATATTGTTTGAAATTTGACAATAAGTAGTAATTAATGTCAAATTTAAGAAGAAATGTTTTGTATTGGATGCTACTGTAGAGTCTCGGTCATCCAGGACATGGGAAATAAAATTTAAAAAATTTAGACTGTATGACGTTGTTATTATCATCATCGATATTTGGATCGATCTACATCCCTCTACTTTATTTGCAGTATGACTGTTCAGACTGAGTTCACTTTGAAACACCAAATCTGTAACCAATTCAGTACCACATATGAAAAAGATCTGGGTCGAATTTGAAAAAAAAAAAAAAAAGATTTGTCACGTTCCGAAAAATCAGATTTGAGTTGCATAGGGGCAAAAAAAAGAACAGAAGAAAATTGATTTGGGCCACGTTTGCCTGCAGTGTGAATACAGCCCAAGTTTCTTACTGATATGAAAGGAGGCATTCTAACAAGGAATGCTTGGCCTTTAATTATAAAAACAATGACTGTATCAGAGCAAATTGTCCAACAAAAAGCGTAAAGGAGCATTTCTTTTCCTCCATGTTTTGTTTCTGTGTTTGGGACTTATCTAAAATTTGGCCTTCTTTCTTCTCTACACCCATCCACATTCTCATATGTCACTGATATTTCAGTCTGCTGCAGGCGCTATCAAGTCTTCACAGCTCCCTGTGTGATTCGCTGTAGAGAAAATGACAGGAGCATACAGCGTCTGTTACACGCCTCAGCCCTTTTCCCTTTCATTTTGCTTCTCTGCTCCACTGCTGCCACCTTTAAACACCATCTTCTTAGTTAAACTTTTAGAAAATGTTCTGATGAATAATTAAGTGGTGCTTTCTGCATCAATATACCAAAATCAAATGGTGCATTTAAACAGAAAAAACACTTTCTTCAGCAGTTTTTTTTTTCTGAGTAACTCCCCTTACATTTGGTTGAACTCTTTCTAGTGTAAATTAGTGAGAGTGAGCATGAGGGTGTATTTGCTCACCCACATGGTTCGATCCATGGAGACGTCAAGGAGAAAAGGAGGAATGTGACAAACGGGGTGAGAGTCGAGCAGAAGTCCTCATCCTTTTTTTTTTTTTTTTTAACTTCTCTTCATTACTTTTTAAAAATGCGCACAGAGAAGGAAAGAAACCCACTGAACAGAAGAGTTGAGAGGGATATTTTGGATGCTAGAATAGGATCATAGGGTCTTCTGAGGGAAAAAACAAAAAACAAAATATCAGGACAACACCAGCAGCTTCTCCCTATATGAGAGCTGAATGTTGAAGTGAAAGTGTTCATATTAAGATCTGAGTTTATCTGATTAAAACAAGCAGATTATTGTGGCAAAACATCAGATCTACCCAAGTTTACTGTCCTTAAAGTCTAATAGAACTGTAAATAACATCATGATGGCTGGCTGGCTGGCTGGCTGACTGGCTGGCTGACTGGCTGGATAGATCGGTGATGGATAGATCATTGGATGGATGAATGGAATGTTGGATGGATGGATGGATGGATGGTGGAGGGATGGATGGATGAGTTAATGGATGTATGAAGGGCTGGCTGGATGGATAATGTATGAATGATTGATGGATGGATGAATGGAAGCATAGATGGATGTATTATTGGATGCATGGATGTTTGATGGATGTATGTTGGATGGATGAATTATTGGATGAATGGTTGGAAGATAGATGAATAATGGTTGGATGATGTCTGAAAGATGGATGATGGATGGATAGATGGAATGTTGGATAGATGGATGCATGGATGATGGATGGATGATGGACAGATGGATGATGGACAGATGGATGATGTCTGAATGATAGATGGATGGATGGATGTCTGAATGATAGATGGATGATGGATGGATAGATGATGTCTGAATGATAGATGGATGGATGATGGATGGATGGATGTCTGAATGACAGATGGATGGATGGATGATAGACAGTTGGATGATGTCTGAATGATAGATGGATGGATGATGGATGAATGGATGTCTGAATGATAGATGGATGATGGACAGATGGATGATGTCTGAATGATAGATAGATGGATGATGGACAGATGGATGAATGGATGATGGACAGATGGATGATGTCTGAATGATAGATGGATGTATGGATGAATGGATGATGATGATGGATGTATGGATGGGTTAATGGATGTATGGATGTATGGATGGATGGATGATGAAGGGCTGGATAACGAATGATGGCTGGCTGGATGGATGGTGTCTGAATGATAGATGGCTGGATGGATGATGTCTGAATGATGGATGGATGGATGGAAACATGGATGGGTGTATTACTGGATGTATGGATGTCTGATGGATGTATGTTGGATGGATGGATGGATTATTGGATGAATGGCTGGATGATAGATGAATGGTTGGATGAATGGATGGATGATGTCTGAAAGATGGATGATGGATGGATAGATAGAATGATGGATAGATGGATGCACGGATGATGGATGGATGGATGGATGAATGGATGTCTGAATGATAGATAGATGGATGAATGGATGATGTCTGAATGATAGATGGATGTATGGATGAATGGATGATGATGATGGATGAATGGATGGATGGGTTAATGGATGGATGGTTGGATGGATAGATGATGGATGGATGATGAAGGGCTGGATAGATGAATGATGGCTGGCTGGATGGATGATGTCTGAATGATGGATGGCTGGATGGATGATGTCTGAATGATGGATGGATGAATGGAAATATGGATGGATGTATTATTGGATGAATGGTTGGATGAATAGATGGATGATGTCTGAAAGATGGATGATGGATGGATAGATGGAATGTTGGATAGATGGATGCATGGATGCATGGATGATGGATGGACGATGGGTGGATGATGGACAGATGGATGATGTCTGAATGATAGATGGATGGTCGATGGATGGATGATGTCTGAATGATAGATGGAAGGATGGATGAATGGACGATGATGTATGTATGTGTGTATGTATGTATGTATGTATGTATGTATGTATGTGTGTATGCATGTATGTGTGTATGCGTGTATGTGTGTGTGTATGTATGTGTGTGTGTATGTATGTATGTATGTGTGTATGTATGTATGTATGTGTGTATGTATGTATGTATGTATGTATGTATGTATGTATGTATGTATGT